GGAACTGAACGAAGCTTTATTACACATGGACTTAATAGATGTTTACAGAGTATTCCACCCCACAAATTTTACAAGACATTTAGAGAAGAACTACTACCATTACTCTTCAGACTTTTCAATGAAATTGAAAGAGAAGCTATACTTCCAAATTCATTCCTGGAAGCAAGTATCACTTTGATTCCCAAACCAGGGAAAGATGCAACTAAAAAGGAGAACTACAGACCAATCTCCTTAATGAATATAGATGCAAAAATCCTTAATAAGATACTAGCAAACAGAATACAGAGGATTATCAAGAAGATCATCCATCCTGACCAACTCGGATTTATTCCAGAGATGCAAGGGTGGTTCAACATATAAAAGTTAATAAATGTAATACATTATATTAACAAAGTCAAGGACAAAAACCATATGATCCTCTCGATAGATGCAGAAAAAGCATTTGATAAAATTCAACACCCATTCATGATAAAAACCCTGCAAAAAATTGGAATAGATGGTCTATACCTCAATTTAATAAAGGCTATCTATGAAAAACCATCAGCCAACATCATATTAAATGGCCAAAAACTGAAAACCTTCATGTTAAAATCAGGAACAAGACATGGATACCCATTATCACCACTCCTCTTTGATATGGTTCTGGAAACATTAGCCATAGCAATTAGACAAGAGAAAGAAATGAAAGCAATAAAGATAGGAAAGGAAGAAGTTAAACTGTCATTATTTGCTGATGATATGATACTCTACATCAAAGACCCAAAAAACTCCACCAAAAGACTTCTAGACTTAATTGACAGATTCAGTAGAGTATCTGGATACAAGGTGAACACCCAAAAATCAATAGCCTTCTTGTACACAAATAACAGACTCACTGAGAGAGAAATAAGGGAAAAAATTCCTTTTATAATAGCATCCAAAAAAATGAAGTATCTAGGAATCAATCTAAGAAAAGAAGCAAAAGATCTCTACACTGAAAACTACAGTACTCTGAAAAAAGAAATTGAAGAGGATATTAAAAAATGGAAAGATATCCCCTGCTCCTGGGTAGGAAGAATCAACATAGTGAAAATGGCCATACTACCAAAACTTCTATATACATTCAATGCAATGCCAATTGAAATTCCAACACTATATTTCACAGAACTAGAAAAAAGAATCCAAAAACTCATTTGGAACCATAAGAGACCTAGAATAGCAAAAGCCATTTTAGACAACAGACACACGGCAGTGAGTATAACAATGAATTATTTTGCAATTTTGAAATATCATAGTATTAAATAATTTATATTTCCATATGTATATAAAATTAGGCAAGAAAAGCAAAATGCCAAAATTATGTATGTGATCTCTTATAGAAGTAACTGAAGTTCCTGTAAATGCATCTATAAGAGTGTATGATTTTAGGAACATGGAGAGTGGTGTGAATAGTTGTACAGTAATCTGTCTACACTGATTACTGGGGAGAATGAGTGGAGGAGAATTGACAAATAAAGGTACCAGTGACAAAGTATGTGATGAGTCCACTCATATAAAAGGTTTTTGGGTGCGTGTGTGTGTGTGTGTGTGTGTACACGCCATGATCGTGGCAGTAGTGGTTGGTCTTTTCCAATCCAAGATCCCTTTAAAATTAGCAATCCTCAGGCTGGAGGTTTGCCTCATTGGTTCCGCTGCCTGCCTCAAAAGCACAAGGGCCTGAGTTCGATCTCCAGTACCCAAAAAAAAAAAAAAAAATTAGCAAGCCTTTGTAAATGGGGAAGGGTGGAGGGGATGGAAGGGAGGGCAAGGAAATGGGGAATAAATAAGAACCAAGATATTTCATATAAAGACACAAGATCCTGATGATGAATGTAACTGTATTGTATACCTAAAATGTACCAATACTTAGTGGGGAAAAAAATCAGCGAGCCTATTTCAATGCTGATCGCCCACATGCTTTTCTGATACTCAGAACAGCTACTATATTAGAGATATTATATATATGTCCACTGTATATCTCAAAATCCTCATGGAAAAGATACTTGGACCCTTTGAGAGTAGGAGCACAGTTTAACCCTTGTTTGTTTCTTCTTAAGTCTGAATTTCTTCTTACGGAGAATTATGTTTAGAAATATGTCACATCCCAGTGGACTTTAGTGAAAGCCACTGTTGAATTAGGCTTCAGTCAGACAAGGAAACAACAGAACAACTAAAATCATCTCTAGCTATTGGAACTAGCACTTAAAATCTGGTAAGTGCTCATATATTGAGTCTAACTTAAAATTTTATTTATGTGAAATTATATTTACAAAAATGTATTATTTTATAATATTCATTTAATTGTCCTTTCCTTTGTCAGATGTAAGTTTAAACTTTTTTCCCCTCCTATACTGGGGATTGAACCCACGGATTGCACAACCAAATTCCCAGCCTTTCTTATTTTGAGAGAATCTCACTAAGTTGTCCTGGCAACAGGTATGGACCACCACATTTGGCTACAGCTGCTTTTTTTTTTTTTTTTTTTTTTAAGGATCGAACTCAGGTACCAGGGTCCTTGCATTTGCGAGGCAGGTGGCAGCACCACTGAGCTAAATCCCCAGTCCTGGCTAAAGCTTCTTAAAAGCAAGATATGATTGTGATGCATCTGTCTCTTGTTGTAACTTGTACATATAAATACTTGATATTTTGCTCGAGTAAAGAATACAGTAATGGCCAGATCATTATGAGCTGTTCAACTGACAGGCTGTCAATCTATATGATGTACTGCAAGATGTTTATCATCTGTATCGTGCCCACTCGATGCCTAGAGCACTCCAGTCATTCTAACTAAAAATCTTTTGCTTCAGTTTCCAGAATCCTTTGTTGGTGCTACCATTCTTAAGAACAGCAAGGCTTGAATAATGAAGTCTGGCAGTGCCTGAACTATACCTTGAAGAATAAGGTTTTTTTTTCTTTTGTAGTATTAGAGTTTGAACCCAGGGAGCACTGAACTACATCCCCAGCCCTTTTTAAAAATAATTTTATTTTAATTTTGAGAGTCTTGCTTTGTTGCCCAGACTGGCCTCAAACTGGTAATCTTCCTGCATCTGCCTCCTGAGTAATTTAAGATTACAGGCTTGTGCCGCTATGCCTAGCTATGAGTAGGATTTTAAAACCAGAGAAACTGGGACACAGTAACAGCATTATAAAAGAAGGAGCAACATAATGTACACTGTCTTCACAGATGAAGCAGTGTGTCTGTTTTGGAAAATAGAAATAAAGTTAGGTAGATTAGAGTGATGTTAGAGGGTATTTATTGAGAGAAGGAGTATGCCTAGGTGAGAGGAGAAGGAAAACTATCCTTTTACTCTCTGATGCCACCAAATTAATTTTCCAAAAGTATTGCCCTGTTCAACCATCCACTTAATAACACCTTTACTTTATGCTCAAGGCATTTTGTCTCATCAGATTTGTCTAACTTTATTTCTTGCTCCTTAAAATTAGGTATGGCTGGTTGGCTGGTCAAACATTTCCCCCACTTTTCTTGTCAGTATGCTCACTTCCTGTGTTTATTAATCTCTTTCTTTATCTAAATCTAGCATCATTCTGCTTAAAAAAACAATTTACTATTCCGAAGAAATGGGCTGTAATTCTACACCATTCTGATAACCTCCTTTCTCTTTCTTAGTTTTTGTGATTTCTCCCACAGTATTTAGCACAGAATTGTACATGGTCTTTCATGCTTTTCATTCTTGTTTTTTTCTGAATCATTTTTAATATCCTAAACAGCTGTGTAGGTAAGAAACATACCTCAATATTTTTGAAGCCATCAAAGCAACTTTATATTTTTGTTTTTTTTCAGTCAGATAGTGTAGGTATTGCCTTTGTGTGAAATTATTTGACATAGTAGATATTGAACACTGTAAATAAAAAGATTCTACCTTTGTAAGCCATGAAATGTTAATATTATGGTTTTATAATGTTTCATATTTTAACTGGTCAAATATCTCTTGTTTCAATAACTAGATTTAATTATGGACAAGTTAGAAACCAACAATGCCTGGAAGAATCATTATGATATGATAACTATTTTATTTGTTTTATTAATTTGCCATAACTGTATCCATGTTCACACCATTGTTTTGATAACAACAGAGGGCACCATTATGGTGCTTGAACACCCAAGAAATAGTCCTATCCCAGTCCTTGGTAGCTTTCTTGAGCCACACTTTCCTTTTCCTAAGTAGTGTCATAGAAATATGAACATTATCTAAATGGAATGTCCCTATTATTTATAGAACAAAATTATCTTTAGGTTATTTCTGAAAAAGAGTACTGCCATATTTTGATCTTTTGTAGTTTTTAAACTTTTTATCCTAATTCTTCTCCCTCTTTTCTTGTTCCAAATGAAATCTTACCATGATCTTACTCTATTAATTAAGTACAGTCCTTTTTGAAAGGAGAAGACAGAGGCAGAGGATAACAGTCTGGACTCCACCTTTGCACTCCTGCCTTCTCGCCCCTATCCAAAGAGCATAGCTTGGAAACCATCATGACTCATCTCAGTAAAAATGATTTTTTTAAACTTGATTTGTGATATCTCACTGAGGAACTGGGTTGACAAATAGAAATATTTTGATTGTGAAATGATTTTTAAGTACAAAGGAAAATGTTCTGGAACGTTTCTTGTTTCGGCAATAAAACAGTTAATGCACTAAGCAGTGGAGACGCAGATACTGCGCTGGGATAGTGCTTTCCCTCTCTGTCATTTGTGGTTTAAGAAAAGGGGGTGGTGTTCTGCATTTGAAAGGACTTTAATGAATGCTGTCAGTGTTTGTGAGAGCTAATGGTCAGTATGGGAAAGGAGAGCAAGGAAAGTGGTCTAGCGGCTTCAGGATAGGTGGATGAGAGTTTGCTCTGATTGAACGGAATGTTCCACCGTGTTTCATCTTTATTCATTATCCTTTGTTCTTTAAAAATCTGATATATTGGCTTAAAAGTAAATGTAGATATATATATATATATATGAATGTCATTTATTTTCCTTTAAATCTGTTTGTTGTGTACAGCAGGGCTTATTACTTCTCTTGTCTTGGTTGGATGCACAAATCTGTGTGCAGTGCTTTTTGCCCGTTGCCTAGACGATCACATTGGTTTCTCTGAGGATGTCTGGTTCTCGTAAAGAGTTTGATGTGAAACAGATTTTGAAAATCAGATGGAGGTGGTTTGGCCATCAAGCATCATCTTCTAATTCTACAGTTGACAGCCAGCAGGGAGAATTTTGGAATCGAGGACAGACTGGAGCAAACAGTGGGAGAAAGTTTTTAGATCCGTGTAGCCTGCAGTTGCCTTTGGCTTCAATTGGTTACCGAAGGTCCAGCCAACTGGATTTTCAGAATTCACCTTCTTGGCCAATGGCATCCACCTCTGAAGTCCCTGCATTTGAGTTTACAGCAGAAGATTGTGGTGGTGCACATTGGCTGGATAGACCAGAAGTGGATGATGGCACTAGTGAAGAAGAAAATGAATCTGATTCCAGTTCATGCAGGTTGATTATTTTCTTCCTGTTAGAAATGGGATATGGGGGGTATATTCTCTGTAATGTTTTAAAATAATTTGGTATTTATTATTTAAAATCTATTATATGCACGTCTGTATGCATCTGCTTATATAGTATTTTGGTATGAACTTTTGCTAGGATTTTTAAATATACTAACATTCTATAAAATTATGACAACAAATAGGATTCATTTTGAAAATCTTCTGTATGTAGATCTGACTCTGCTTTGAAAATAATATGTAGCAGCAGTTTTATGCATCATTGCCTAGCGGTTGCTTTATTCGTGTACTGTCTGTATTCATAGCAAAACTATAGAAGATTTCTATAGTATAAAATTTTGTGACAGTTTATAATAGGCTATAGAGTCAAATTTTAATTTAATGGAAATGAAAGGTTTGGCTCATTGTAGTTGCCAATTTTTGACACCATTTTAGTTGTCAGAAATCTTTCTGTGGTTATTTCTCTTTGTCCTGTCTATATTGCAGCTCTTAGACTAATACAGAGGATACTAAGTAACATGCCTTTTTCTAAGATGACAGCTACTAATTCGTGTTACCTTCACTTTCACTGAAATTCATGCTAGAGAAATGAAGGACATTCTTTCGGGAGAGTTTAAAGGAATATAGAGGGCTCAAGGTGGTAACTGGTGAAAGAGGGCAAGAAAAAATGTTAGAAGAAAGAAAAAGAAAAAATTCATAATTTCATAATGAGCTTATTCATCTGACTTTATCTTTGAAATACATCTTATCAATCACTTTAAACCACGATAGCATATCATGTAACAAGTTAGAGCATGAAAGTCATCATTCAGATTCATTTTAATTCAAAAATATTTCTAAATATTTAAAGGTACAAAGCTTATCACAAAGCTAGTTTGATTACTGTATTCTAAAATTTCTTTGCAGGTTTTGTATACACTTAGAATTTGTAAATTGGCTATTGTTAATACAGGCATCATGAGGGGCATTGAGATAAAATGAATTCATATATTCAAGTATCTCTTACTTGGAAATATTTACCCTTTTCCTCTTCTAGTCTTTAGAACATGGAATTCTGAACTGTGGTGTTGGAATGATAAAAAATATAAACCAGTCATCTGTAATCATTTATGTAATGGAGAGAGGGTAATATCTTTATATAAGTAAATAAATACTATGTTTAAAAATTTTTAAGTTAGTTCATGACATTGCATTATCTTAAAGGACTAGGAGCCACTAAAATTTTTAATACAGTAGATCAGTTAAGCTACTGCGACTTCATTGATTTGTATCTTTGGAGACTTGTTGCCATTAAGAGAATGACTTATATAAGATTCCTTGTTTATCATTTTGTGGGAAACTAAACAGTAATTAATTAATCATTCCATTTGAAAACTAATATATTGAGAGTTTTATAACAAAATTAGAAAAAGTAAAACATTCCTTTACTGGCATAGGTTATAGAACTCTTAAAATGCATCCATAGCCTAGAGGAATTATAATATTAGTACAAAATTTATATACATCTATAATTTTGAAAAGATTGTACATACATTAGTCACTGTAATTGTTTAAAACAAAAGGTATTTTGCATAGCAAATTATTTCTGAAGTTGAATTAATCTGTTCTTCCGTATGCATATTAAAATACTATCCTAGAGGAGTATTCATTATGAAAGAAAAATAATTTTATTTTGACTGAAAAATTGTTATATGCATTCTTCAAGCATTTAAAATTGATTTTTTTATTTGCAGGAAATACAAAATGATAGTTTAAAAGTCTAAAGTCATTTATAAAGTACTAATTAAGAAAATTGATCAGACGTGGGAGTAAATAGTTCATATATTCAGGGACCACACTTTTCTTGAAATATTATTTCAAAAATAAAATGTACTGAAAGAAAATGTCTCTGACTTAGATATAAAGGGAAGATGTCAAAGCAATTTTGTATTCCTAATGGTTTGAGATTTCAGTCTTAACACTGTACTAATTAAAGGAAACACATTCTAGATTTTAGAATGTCCTCTGTACATATACTTTCATTCATCAAAGTTTTGTATATAACTTGGGAACAGTTCTTTTTCATACATAGTATTTGCAAGTAATGAAATATATAAGACATATTTTGTGCCTGCTATAGATTGATGTCTTAAAATACTAAAGATATAATGGGAAATATATATATATGATATACTAGTTTCTTTAAGCAGTCATAATATATACATGGATCTCAAAACTTAAATCAAAAGTTTGAGTTATTAGAGAAAAGGAAAAAAAGAGAAGATAGCAGAATGGTTTTGCATACTCGGAATCACAACACCCACCATGGACCTGAACAGTTTAAGGCTGTTAAGAGGCATCATTTGAAGATAATATGTTTTATCAGGTGTATTCTAGCTAAGAGATATATCTTCTTGAGTATTAGACTTCTGATAATTTCTGTTGCCATGCATCTCTAAGTGATTTAAATGTTTCTTGTCTTTTAATCCCCCCTCCTCCCCCGCCCCATACCAGGGATCAAATGCAGGTCCTTGCATTTACCAGGCAGGCACCCACACCACCAAGCTAAATCCCCGGTCTCTCACCTTTTATTTTTGATCTTGGTTCTGTAGCCTTGGTTCCTCTGGTAGGTGATCTAAGTCATTGCTTTGATATAACTATATAAATTTTGGGTTTTATACCCAGAGGAATTTTAGACTCCATCAGAGTTGTCACCTTTTACGTAGTAGGTTCCCAGAACCTTAATTCCAGCCTCCTTTGTGTTGTCTTTGGATCTCATTGTTTGATCCAGTCTAATTCTGGTTCAGTTTTAAATTAAAATCCTTTACATTTACACATGAAAATAAAATTTGTTTCTCAAAGTGGCAAAGAAGTTCATCTATGTTATTGTATCTGGGTAGGATATACAGTATTACATTGTCCTCCTTCGCACACATATATACACATCTCATCATGGGCTTCCTTGGAAATCTGACATAAGCTATGTAAGCTCTCCCCAGAAAAGACTGTGTATATTAATTACTTAGTATGTAGTTCAAGGAGTTCATAAACCCTCTGAAGCCTGTGTGCTGTGTCAGTCAGGGTTTTAAGGAACTGGAACTGACTGGATGATTTAAACATAATAGGAACATTTAAATCATATAAGTTTCCAGAATTCCAAGGAGAAGCTGACAAATCACCTTAGGAAAAGGCTAAGTGTTGCAATCACACAGTGGGCCCTTTTAACTACAGATTTTTTAAAGTCAAAGAACTTGTCTGTTCTACATGTTGCTAACATGTTATTTTATTTGTATTCTATTTGGAACTGGATAGTGAAGTTTTGTGTTTCAAAATCAGATATATTAGACATGAAAACATTGGCACTTGTGTGCACACACATATAAACACATCAGTCATTTCAGGAAGCACATTTGTAGAGCACAGACTAAGATCATGTAACAGAGAGCATCACCCCTGGGCAAGTGGCTCCTACAGCAGATAGGTCTGTCTCACAAGTCCATTCAGAGATGCATATTCCTTCTGTACATTTCTGCATTCTGTAGGATGTTATCCTTTTCTTCCCAGTCATCCCTCACTCTTACCTCCACATTCCAGCTTGTGAGAAGGGCCAAAGAAAGAAAAGGAAGGATATTAAGCCAGTGACACTGGCTGTGAATGTATCAGTGCTATTTGCATTTCATTGATGAAAACAGTCACATGGCCAACTGGTTACATGCTAGGTTGTGAAATGTGGTCTCTACCTGGGAAGCCATATGTCCAGCTAAAACTCATTATTGTAGGAAAAATAAAAGATTGGATTCAAATTTACAAATCATCAAAGTAAAAGATGTGAAGACAAATAAATAGAATTCCTATGTTCTCATCTGCAAAATAAGGCATGTAGATAAAATGACTGAATAGGTTTCTTCTAATTGTAAAATTTTCTGTGTAATTATTTAATACCTATAATTCAGTGTCCAAGAGTTGTATGGGTGTACAGTAATTTTTTAAAGTACATTCTTATGCTAAAATTGTTATGTGCAAAGTCCAAAATCTCTTTAAAAGGTAAATACATGAGGGCTAGGGATTTAGTGCAGTGGCACCGTGCCTGCCTCACAAGCACAAGGTCTTCAGTTCGATCCCTGGTACAAAAAAAAAGTAAATACATGAATTGCCAGAGAGCTGTGCACCTCTTCAGGTTTATTGAATATATCTATTCCTTACTCCTTGTGCTCATTTTGTAAGCAATGGCTTTACCTTTCAGTAGCATACAAAGCAGAAGTCTACACTTTTGATCCTTCATTTAGATCAGTAGATGCAATTTCTATATTTTAAAATGTCAGTAAATTATTACATTGAACTAATAATATGTTCAACATGTGGTGGCAGTTGGAAGAATTGATAGTCCCATTGGACTTTATTTCACCTCTGCTCACAATGCCAGGAACTCCAGAGGGGCCCTACTTTGAGAAGTTTTTTAAGAACCATACTAAACCCATGTAAAGGCAGTACATAAAAGTATCCATTTCTTTTTCGGTCCATACAGAGAACAAGGCACAAGACAGGCACCTGTAGTCCCAGCTAGTTGGGAGGCCAAGGCAGGAAAATCATTTGAGTTCAAGGCCAACCTGCACAAAAACAGTGAGATCCTGAAGCCATGTCTGGAGGTAGAGGGGGTACTGGAGAAATGGAAAAAGGACACCTGTCATATAGTTACAGAAATGGTTCTGTAAAACCCTCCTTTCAAAATTGGGTTTAAAGATATTTAAGATCTAAAGCAAGTCATGAAAACTGTTCATACAGTTACTCCATGAGAGAAAAAAAAGTCTGCATAAAGTGGTGCCAAGAATCTGGCACAAAGAAACAAAGGCAGAACAATGATAAAATCTAGCCCTATTTGATTTTACATTGCTGACCTCATAGATATGTGCCTGGTGGATGTTAGCCCTTTCCTTACACTTAAAAGAATCTTAAGAAATTAAGCAAGTTTGAATGTTAATGAAGTCTGTGACTAAAGGATCTAAAAGCCAAGCCAGAAAATCTCAAAGGCAAGATTTTTGTCACTGGAATGGGAAGAAGTGAATAAAGATTGATAGTTGCTAAAGGCCAGTGCAGCCAAGGTCTTGGCAGAACAATTTCAAAAATAAGGCACACCTAAGTTTCTCAGTTTGAGACCATTGTAAGAAGGACCCACCAAAGCAGCCAAGAAATAGCAAATCAGTAGAGGATATTGAGATGGGGTAACAATCAGGTAGGGTGATAAGTAGGTGAAAAACCCTGAATCAACACTCATGGTCAGTGTCTTTGCCATCCCATGTCCCTTGTATGGCTCCACAAAAGAACATAGGATGAAGAGATGAGACCACTGGAGTGGAACCTCTCCTAGGGAGTGGGCAGGGGAGAGTAAGTGACTTCTGCAGCACACACATCTGCAATATTCTGCAGAATCTTGGAAGTACCCAAGAGGATTTTGCCTTTGGGACAGTAGTGGTCCATGTTCTTCAGGGCATCCACACAGAAGAGGATGAAGTCACAGCCCACACTATGCACCCCAGCAGGCACAGGTTCCCGCAGAAGAGCCAGGCGAGGGCACCAGCATCATAGGACAGTTGTGTCATGATCCTCTTGTTGCAGGAAGGACAGCACATCTGGCCTTGGTGGTTTAAAAGGGAGATGAGTTGCTACTGGAGATGGTCTACACAGCAGCTGCACTGGCACTGGGGCTGGGCACCGGCTACATGTCCAAGGAAGGAGAATCCAAACCTGGCCTGTCATGAGCCCTGTGGCTGGCCAGGCACAGGGGTAAAGGCATCAGTAGTAACTTTAACAGCTGCTATCCCTTCATAGAGTGGAGTACAGCTGGCACTGAGGAAGGCCCCCCTCACCACCTGGTCAGGTCCTGAAACTGCATCATCTGTGAAGCTGGAAGTTATGCAGACAGGCAAAAAAGATAACTATTTAGATGCTCATTTTGAAAATATTACTTAAGTTCTGCTAGCTCATTTAAATATTTTATTCAAACAAATTCTGTTTACATGCTTTGAGGTATAGTATTGATTGTATAAATCGGTGTTTTGAACTATAGGTTCATCACACACTGATTTTTGTAACATATCCATATTTTGACTGATGCACACATCAGTGGTCTTCAGTCTGCAGGGCTTTTGAAAGATACAGTGAGACCTGTTGAATTAGTCATAGGGAGTGAGGCTCTAAATGCAATGTTCCCAGGTTATCCTTCACTGCTTCAGGATCTGAACAAACACTATGAAAATTATTAACAAAAAAAGAAATGGTCTATCTATTAATTGGGTGTGTACCAACATGAAAAGTAGACTGTGATAACTGAGTGATAGTATTATAAAATTTCGTTCTTTCAAAACTTAACATTGATTATTGTTTGGATGATGACATTTGACTCAGAAACATTCAATTAACACATTTAGTCATTAATGACAATATAATATGAAGTATAAGATGTACGATACAAAACATAGAAACCTTAAGAAAAAAAGTACTTGGTTAGGTGTAGTGGTTCACGCCTGTAATCTTAGCACTCAGGAGGCTGAGGTAAGAGGATCGCTGCAGGTTTGAGACGAACCTGGACCACACAGTGAGACCCTGTCTCAAAATCAGTAAAAACAAATTACTTGATTTATTTACTTTGTTCTTGAAATAATTTATTTCTCATGAAAATTAGATATTGTCATTTTATCTCAGATTCCTAATGCTTTTATTGTTTGCCAGTATCTTGACAGTGTAAAGCTTCATTTTACTAGTGTTTTTAATCTTCAAATTATCATCAAACCACCCTTGTTTTTTCCCTAGATTTTAAAATAGTTTCAAATTCTTTTATATAAACAGCATGTAATTCCACATTGCTATATACAGTTTTATAATAATGATCTTAAATGTGAAATTGAGTATATATTTTACTGGATTATGACAGTAATGTTCATAGTATGCAACACACGTATTATCCTCCAGAAGCTTTGCTGGTTGGTTGGTTGGTGGTATGTACTGTTGATCAAACTCGGCCCTCACACATGCTAAGCACATGCTCTATTACTGAGCCTCTCCCTCAGCCACCTAAGAGCATTTCTTAGTGCCCATATTTGTATGATACTGAAAATGCATTGGACTGGGAGAATTTAGAAAGCGATATTAGTCAAGGTGCTGCGAACTTCAGAAACAAATCTCAGTCCAAGACAAGTATTCTTATATCATCTGTGAATGTTCTTGCTCTAGTGGCCTTACCTTTATTTGACCTCTTCCCAAGTCCTTGGGCCTCTCTGTTTAACCCGTGGACAGGAAGTGTGGGAAAGCCATACCTGATGTCATCTGCTTTAGCTAAGGTGAACTATGTAAAGCAAGGATTCATTTCCATCATATGACCACACCTGTAGTCCTAAAACTCTTGGAGGCTGACGCATCAACAGTTCAAACACAGCTTTAGAGACTTAGCAAGATCTTGCCTCAACTTACAATATTTTTAAAGGATGATGGGGACTCTGGAAATATAGCCCGGTACAGGGGCCCTGAGTTCAATCCCCAGTAACTAGCACGCGCGCGCTCATGCACACACACACACACACACACACACACACACACATGCACAAGCGCACAAAACTACACCTATCTGCAGAAAAGTCTGGGAAATGTAGTCTAGCTATTAGTCTAGCTATATTACCAGGAGAAAAGGGGGGTTTCTTTTGATACACACAGATCAGTCTCTACTGTAGCCTTGTTTCTGCCATGAACAAATACCATAATGCTTGAGAAGACAATTTCCTTGGCTTCGGTTCTCTTTATTTTAAAAAGTAGGCACTCCAGTGACTATGTTTCTTTTTATAAGATTATTATATTTTAAATATTCTCAAGATATAGTGAAGCTAGATTTAAAGTATTCATTAGAGTCATAATGTCCTTAACATCTGATGAGAAATGAGAACTAAGTTACAGCAGTTGGTGGCTTTTAGTTAATTGCATACCAGTGGATGCTGATTACTTGATTTAAATGATCCTGGAGAGGAGATGGTGATGATGAATACAACTCAGAACTGCATTTAAATCCTATTTTCACTGGGGATTTAGCTCAGTGGTGCCGCCACCTGTCTCACAAGCTCAAGGTTCTGAGTTCGATCCCCAGTACAAACAAAAAAAACTATGTCATCAGTAAATCAGATAAAACCATGGACTTCGGCTCAGCCATAAAGAATGAGAAATTAGATTCATTTGTAGGAAAATGGATACATTTTGAGGATATACTCTTAAGTGAACTAAATAAGTCACACGTGTAAATATTGAATAGTTTCTCTGGTGTGAATAAACTATAATAGTACATAAGATCCTAATGAGATAATTGACAGTGTGAAATAGGAAGAAAAGGGCTAAAGGTTAGGAAAAGTGGGAAGGATAAGGAAAGGTAATAAGGGAAAAGAAAAAATAGGAGAAAATGGAAATAAAGTGTTTGTAAATGGGGAGGGGAGGAATGGGTGAAGGGAGGGCAGGGACAAGGGGAAAAAATTAGAACCAAGACCTGTCATGTAAAGGTACAAGATCCCAATAATGAATGTAACTGTACTGTGTACCTAAAATGTACCAATAAACTCAATGAGGAAAAAATAAATAAAATTTTTAAATGACCATGGGAAAAAAAACAAAAAACATGGGCTTCATATACCTCATTTTTTACTTGGGAATTTTAGGTCATTTTTGAACACCTGGATTCAGGCCTTCAAATTGTTTTAATCTAATCTAACTTATGCATGGTACCTAGGCTCTTGAGAACTGGTCAGAGAATAGAAAGTATTATTTTTGCGATGCTTTTGTGGCCATGTAATTTATAAATGAACTGTGAAACATAGCCCATTTTATAGTAAAAGATGAGTTGGATTTTCACCTCCAGAACAGTTTAATTGCTTTCTTCAAAGACAAGGGTGATCATTTAAACTTTAAATTATAATGATAGGAGACACACTATGGGTATGAATGTAAGTTGGCTCTTTTTCAGTGCAAATGTTGGATTTACCAGGGACCTCCAAAATAGGTACATACTACAAAGAATATGTCTAGCTATTAACTAAGCTAGATGTCACATTCACTCACAGTGTTTGCAGGACATATTAAGAATTAGATCATCATTGATCTTACAAAACAAAAGTGCTATAATGAGGAATATACATTAATATTGTAGGTAGTATTGTTATCTTCTATTACCTTTGAAGGCTTTAAAAACTTAGTAAAACATCTTCATAATGTAATAGTAATATTTCATAATGTGTGTTTTCTTTCATTTTAGGACTTCCAATAGTAGTCAGACATCATCCTGTCATACTATGGAGCCATGTTCATCTGATGAATTTTTTCAAGCTCTTAATCATGCTGAACAAACATTTAAAAAAATGGAAAACTATTTGAGACACAAACAGTTATGTGATGTAATTTTAGTTGCTGGTGATCGGAGAATTCCAGCTCACAGGTAATTGTGTTCTAAATTTCTATATGTGTGAAATGTTTCCTGCATAATTTTTTTTTTTTTTTTTTTTTTTTTTTTGTGTGTGTGTGTGTGTGTGTGTGTGGTACCGGGGATTGAACTCAGGTCCTTGTGCTTGCAAGGCAGGCCACCGAACCACTGAGCTAAACCCCCGGCCCCATCCTGCATAATTTTAATTGCTTAGGGAAGCATAAATTATTTTCATTAACTACTGTGCTTTTGGGAAGAGGTATATCTGATGAAATTTTTATGAAGAAAACATGATGTTATTACACATTAAATGATCATTTCTCCTTTTTAGAAGCACTCCAAAAAAAGTCCCTTAAATAAGTAAACATTGTTTATTATAGACTTCAGTGACTATTAACAGCTTTCATGCTATATTCTACAAATACTGTAAATAAGATCAGTGAAAATTAGCATTTCTCAATAGTTAGAAAAAAGCTGCTGGAATAGAATTTCTAAAAGTCTTAACAGTTTTTAGATTTTTTTTTTTGTAGTCTCACACATGCTAAGTCCGTGTCATACAAATGAGCTACATCCTTGAACCCTTAACAATTTTGTTGTATTTTGCTTTGTTTTTGTGATACTGGGGGTTGAACCCAGGACCTTCACACTGAACTACATCCCCAACCCATTTTTTTTTTTACATCTTTTATTTTGAGACAGGTTCTCAAATTAACTAAGTTCCCAAATTGCCCAGGCTGGGCTCAAACTTGGAAACATCAGCCTCCCGGAGTGTTGAGATTACAGGCCTGTGCCACCTCACCGAGTCACTTACCAGTTTTTAAATAATGTTATATATCCCAACTTCTTTTTTACTGGTCTCTAAGAAATGTGAAAAGCCTTTAAGGAAAGTGATGTATTATTTCTTGAAGTAAGAAAAAGGAAAGAACTGTCTAGCAAGGAGTAATACATTTTCTTTTGATGATTCTATATTCATTCACTTACTTATTGTTAATCACCACTGTGATCCCAAAGGGTTTTTGTATGCTTTTCAAAACTAATTAATATTTTGTCCCAAAAGTTTTGTTAAAAATCCTTCCAAAGTGGAAGGAAATCATTGGAAAGAAATGAGCTTGGTCTTAGAATTGTCAGTTAGTGCACATTTATTGAGATACTACTATGTATGTATGGCAGTATATCCATATTATGTTCATGAGTTTTAATAGAAAAAATATTTAACCTGCATTTCACAGAGGCACTCGAAATTTGTGGTCCAGTGGTGCCTCAGTTTATGAACTTAATTTATTTTACAATTTTGGGGAAGATGGCTGAGTTTGTGTTTGTGTGGGAAAGATGGACTTGGTTGTGTTTGTCAACTGATGTGGAGTTTGCAAACAGAAGCAAAATTTTGCCAAGTTCTTCTATTTGCACACCGAATTTTTTGCAAACAGAAGCATTTGTGAAATGAGGTATTGCGGTATTTCCAAAACTGAATGTAGTACTGTACCTTACCTGCCATGCTTGTGTGAGCCATCATTACCTGATTTAGATCACACATTAAAGGAACCTCCTCCTAATTGGTCTTCCTACTTCCACCCTTTCCCCTGCATTCTGTTTTCAACACAACTACCTGAATGACCCTTTAAAATGGAACTTAGATCCAGCCACTCCTCTTACCAAAAGTCTCATGTGACTACTCATGTGAAAGCCAGAGTACCTTCAGTGATTTTTGTGACTCACCTGCCTTTACATCTTGAATGTTCTGTCCTACTGCTGTCCTTGCTCACTCTGTGAGAACCACACAAATCCTTGTAGCTCTTTACTGCCAGGCATGCTGCTTCTGCCTCTGGACTTGTGTGCTGGCTACTTCTTCTACCCAAATGCTGCACCCAGATTCCTGTGTGATTAAACCCTTCACCTCCTTCAGGTTTGACTCACATCACCGTCCAGTGAGACTACCTGTTACACTCACCATCCATTCCCATTTGTCTTTACCTGACCTTTTTTTCCCTTATTCCACTTACTATTTTTTAATATACTATAGCATTACTTTTGTTGGTTGTTTCTCTACCTTTCTTTTATATTCTTTTTTTTTTTTTTGTACCGGTGATCAAACTCGACCTTGCTCTTGTGAGGCAGATGGCAGAACCACTGAGCTAAATCCCCGGCCCTCTCTACCTTTCTTTTAAAATGTAAGACTTATAGGGAAAGGTTTATGTGTCTTGTGCACTGAACTATCTTGTGCAGTGCTCAGTACTTTTTAGGCACACATCCGTATTTGTACATTGAATGAATAATGGATAAGAAGTTCTCTGAAGAAGGAACCCGAGTGACCAATAAATTTTTGAAAAAAATCTTCAATCACACTAGCAGTCAGCCAAATGAAAACATTATTGACGTGCCATTGAAAATTTGCAGATGGCCCAAATTTTTAACATGTAACAATACTATGGAGAAATGTCAGCTCTTATACAATGCTAGTGGGCCTCTTAAGGTGATACTGTACTTTGGAAAACAACTTGGCAAACCTTATGACTCATCAGTGCTACTTCTAAGGAGGTAGTAGTATGGAGTTAGAAAGGGACACAAAAGGAGCTTTGTCTATTATTTGTATCAAAATTTTTACTTCTCTAAAAGATGAATAAAGTAAATCTGTGTAAGTGTGCTGACATAAAAATATCTTCAAGATTATGATTAAGTGAAAAAAATGCATGCTTCAGAAACTATATATATTTATAACTTTTTTATTTATACACAGTTGTCAAAAACCCTGCTGAGACAGCTAATACATATAATGTATCATAAAAAAATATAGCTGTGTAGTATTACAACATAAATGTTATAGTTTTATAATAAAATAAATACTATATTACAATAAAATATCAAAATTTTTAAATAACTTGATAAACCATTTGTAAATATATCATATATTTGTTAATTCTACAATTAATTTTTTAAAAGAATAGCTTAGGTTATTTTCAAAAATGAAAAACAGAAAATGACCTTTACATTTTTTCTATTTTTTAAGTAGTTTAATGCCATGGGCTTATAGCTTGTTTTCTGAGTGTTATAAAACAGTATTTGAGTACTGAACAGGTAAATCATTTACTTCAGCAGAAAATTTTCAGTAATGGTAATTTATTATTCAAAGGAAGGAAGTAGAGCATAAAGCAATTTGTCAAACTTAAACTGCATTTCCCAGTACCATGTACTTTCTATGGGTAATGAATTTTAAAAAAGAAGATGATAAAGCATTTATTAATGAAAATCAACTTGAATGTAGTCATTGATTTTTTTTCCCCTGTCATACTCTCAGATTGGTGCTCTCCTCTGTCTCAGATTATTTTGCTGCCATGTTTACTAATGATGTCAGAGAGGCAAGACAGGAAGAAATAAAAATGGAAGGTGTAGAGCCAAACTCATTATGGTCCTTGATTCAGTATGCATATACAGGTAATGTAAGTCTGAACATGTAAATTAAAACCTCTTAGATTTATGTTATACTATTAGATTTCAGATTTCTGCTTTTAATAAAGCATGCCATGACTAACAGTTAATCTGCTACTTTTATCACCACCCCTGGTGGTACCTTAAAACTTATTAGCTCTTTGTGACTTAGTTCCAGAATTTTTAAATAATGTACTAGTTAGAAACTTTTACCAACTATTGATAACTATTTGAAATGCAAAAATTTTGGCTATATAATTCATCTAATTAGTGTATTAATATTTAAAATATGATAGTGATAATGATTATTATCATAATTATAAAAATTAAACTTTTGAATTTTTTTTTCCCGGTACCAGGGAACGAACTCGGGCCTCTTGTGCTTTTGAGGCACACAGCAGAACCACTGAGCCAAATCCCCAGCCCCATGAATGGTATTTTAAAATAAAATAAAATTTTCTAACTAGTGCATCATTTTAAAATTCTGGAAATAAGTCATAAAGAGCTAATAATTTTTTGCATACTTAATACTTTTTTCTTTTTGGAATGTCTTAAACTTTCTTGGTCTACAGTATATGTAATGAGCTCTTATTTAGAAATATATTACTGTTAACATCAATTATTTTATAAAATAAGATTCATGTATTTCCCTAAATTAATGGAATTTCTTTTTATCATTAAGGCCGCCTTGAATTAAAAGAAGATAATATTGAGTGCCTGTTATCTACAGCCTGCCTCCTTCAGCTTTCACAGGTTGTGGAAGCATGCTGTAAGTTTTTAATGAAACAGCTTCACCCATCCAATTGTCTTGGAATCCGTTCTTTTGCTGATGCCCAAGGTTGTACAGATTTACATAAAGTGGCTCACAATTACACTATGGTATGTATTTGAAAACAGGTAGGCATGTGCTCTTTGATTCCTTATGATCTACATGTTGCTGTTCTCATATGGCTCGTCACAGGTCTTGAGGTTCAGGCTCACAGTCTAGTGTGAGTTAGGAGAGGAAAACAACAAGTGATGTTTCTGCTGGATAGATATGTCAAGCCCTGTTAGTATAATCACTAAGAACCAGAGGAGTAGCCTGAGACTATTCCAGTCAAGATTTTCAGATCTGCTGCTTTTTAAACTAGGATGTCCCCAAACATTTTATTTTGCAGCACATGGGTTAATTTCAGAATTGTGTCCATTCACTGATAGAAATTGGTGATAGTGGTTATAATGCACTGGCACAGTGCTAAGACAAATGATAAAAGCATCTATCCTCCATATGTCCATTGAATTGGCTTGTCCATAAAGAGACTGACACTGCTTTAAGAATTTTTTTTTTTTTTTGAGATAGGGTCTGTAGTTTAGTAGTGTAGGCTGATCTGGACCTCACAGTGATCTCCTGACTCGACCTCCCAAGTGCTGGGACTATAGGCATGAGCTATACTACACCCAGCATAGGAATCTCTCATGAAAGAAGTAGAAATTTGTCTGGGTGTGATGGTACATTCCTGTTATCCTAGTACCCAGAAGGCTGAGGCAGGAGGATAACTACAAGTTTGAAGCCAGCTAATATATATTGAGTTCAAGGCCATCCTGGACTATATAGAAAGACCTTGTCTTAGAGAGGGGTTTAGGGTGGGTGAGAGGGAAGGGGGATATTTGGGAAAGTTTTAAGAATAGTTAGATTTTGTTTGTTTTTTAGTACTGGGGATTGAACTTGGGTCCTTGTGCTTGTGAGGCAAGCAGCAGAACCACTGAGCTAAATCCCCGGCCCAAGAATAGGTAGATACTTATAAACTTTTGGGATGATTCATTCTGTTTATTTCCTAAGATTGATGTGAAGACTAAATATTAACAGAGGTTAACATCAAAAATTGGCTACGATATACCCACTACTAGATATCATCCTCATATGCTTGTGATCATTGTTATATAGATTTACTATATTCAACATGGTAGTATGTAAAGAAACAGAAGCATTCATAGAAAACCACACCTTTATGGTTTATATTCTCTCCCAGGGGTGATCACTTAACAGAGCTTCAAGTGAACGAAGAGATTGTGCAATAAGATGATAATACACAGACTTTGGAAGGGGTTAGGCTAATATTTTTTAAATATTCTTTGAAACCCCCCTCCCATCTTTATCCTTCTTAATAGAGTTTTCATTTTTACCTTACACCTGCAGTTTCAAGTATCTTTTAGAATAAGATGAATATAAATACATAAAATAGAGCTGGATTTTTTTCTAATAAGTTTATAAAATAATATTTCTTTCTTAGGTAGGAGTTTTATTCATGTGAAAACATTTGTATGCATTTAGGTCACTCCTGTTGTTTACAGTAGAGGCATGATTGCCACTTTAAGGCTTAGATGTAAATTAAATTTAAATTAGCTGAATGTTTTTAAAGCTATTTTCATAGCCAATTAATTGTGGTAGATTCCCCCCCCACTGCAAGGTCATTATTTAACATTTACTTAGCTTCAATAGAGACACGAAATGGAATTCTAATAACAATAAGTAATTTAGAGGCAAATTGTCTGATTTGAATTGTTGCTATGGGAACTGAATATAATGTATAACAAAATTCAATCTTCAATTTAAATAAATCCCTCAGTAATTTCATTTGCTTAAAACTATTTCAAAGGGGGAAAGGACACAAAGCTAGCAAGTGTTTGGTAGTGTGATATTGTATCATAAAATGAATTTAAAATATAGAGTAAAAATTATGCTCTGCCACTGAATTCAGTCAGTAAATGGTTCTTGTACTGAGTATGTCACTGATATGGCACAGATAGGAGGAGGAAAGGATGAGGAGTCCCTTCTCGGGGTCCTAGAAATCTGGAAATTTGGGGTCTAGTTCTCACTACCACTGAACATGACCTGGAGCAAGTCATGTAACCTCTAAATAATATATAAGACTACTTCTTTCATTATAATTATATAATGTCATTGTGGATTTATGACACAATTATAAACAATTCAAAATTTTTATTTTTCATAAACAGTTTCATATATAATAAGCATATATCCTATTTTTAATGTTCATACAGAGATTTCTTTAACTGAAATACCGAATAGTTTCTCTGGTATGAAAAACTATAATAGTACACAGGATCCTAATGAGATAATTAATAATGTGAAATAGGGAGTAAAGGGCTAAAGGTGTAGGGAAAGTGGGAAGGGTGAGGGAAAGGTAATAAGGGAGAGGAAAAAAATATGAGAAACTGAAAAAATGGAAATAAAGTGTTTGTAAATGGGGAGGGGAGGAGGGGGTGAAGGGAGGGCAGGGACAAGGGGAAAAAATGAGAATCAAGACCTATAATGTAAAGGTGCAGGATCCCAATAATGAATGTAACTGTATTATATACCTAGATTGTACCAATAAACTCAATAAAAAGAAAAAAAAGCATATATACGTGTATAATAAACATATATTATATTTTCAGAAAACAGCATTGAATTCTGCTAAATAACTGCTTTAAAACCAAATTAATATTGTACTTTCAAAAGTAATTCATATATGGGCCGGGGATTTAGCTCAGTGGTTCTGCCGCCTAACTTGCAAGCACAAGGACCCAAGTTCAATCCCTGGAACCAAAAAAAAAAAAATAACAAAAAAGTAATTCATATATAGTTCAGTAATATTTTTTAATTTGTGGAAAAAGTTTTCACTTAATATAAATTATGCTAGAATGGAATGAGCACTGTTGTGAAGTAGGTGCATTAGTTCATCAAGTGAATCTTTACAGTAATAGTCTTTTAACTGATGAAATGCAGTTAATACCATTTGAAAGTATAGCAATAGTTACACTGGTGTCATATAAGTATGTTGATAATAATATATGCCATACCTTTATACAACTAGAAGTATGTATTTTAACTTCTTCAGAATCTCGCCTAACATTCTGTAATAAATATTTTTATATGGCTATGTTATCTTTGTACTTAAAGTTTATATTGCTTGTTTAATAATGCATTGAGCTACAGCCTTCTTTGGTTAGACATTTAGGCTATTTCCCATATTTTAAGCATTGTTAGATATTTAGCTGTTTTCTACTTATGAAGTATTATTAAAGTTTAAACCACAGTGGAATAAATGGGTTGAGAGTTTTAACATTTTTGTAGGTCTTGCTATATATTATCAAATTATTTTTAACACCAGTATACAGTTAAGAACAATTTTCTTGAAAATCCCAGCTTTGAGATTTTATTAAAATATGTTTTTGAAAATAAAAATTAGTTATTTAAAATAGATTCATTTGAGTATTCTTTAACAAATCATTATAAATTGGAGCAGTTGAACTTAATTATTCATAAGTGGTTTTCCCTTTTAACAGTTTCTGCTGAAACGAGTATCAATCCAATAGATAATTTAGATCAGTACCTCACTGGAGTTACCACAGGCTAAACAGAAAATGTGGTTCTCATTTTAATACGGAAGATGGTTATTGATAGACCTTGTCTCTAGCTCTAATTTAAACAGTCTTAGCTATTTTACTAAAATTCTACATGCTGAACAGGAATAGTATATTAGGACATTTAAGGAACTGTATATCTAGCACGTACATTTATATTTAACAGTGTACACTGACTCTGCATCAAGATTTGTAACCTTCAGTCAGAGGAAAAGATTTCTTTCTCTCCAGATTATTTAGCATGATAACCTATAATGGTCCTCTCACACCTAAGGGCACCTCTAGCTCCCATTTCAAAATATAGAAGGCTTACTTCTGGTGTGCAGACAGGACTGAGTCATCCTCAACCTAAGGTCCTGGACATAGTACATTGTAATTAACACTTTCACTAATTTTTTTTTCTGTTAGACCAAAATAGCTTTGTACATAAATCAGATTAGAAGATACTTAAATTTTCAAAACAGAGCTAAAATTCTGGATGGTCTTAAATAACATTACAATTTTAAAGGACAAATTATTTTAAAAATACATTGAGGACAAATTATCTTCTCAGGCAAGGCATGAGAAAACCTTGTGGTCTAGAATAGTCTTTCTGGATATGAGAAATGACTTGAAAGTCACCCAGGTTATTTGGCTTTACTGTTGTCTAAATTCTTTTTATTTTTATTTATTTATTTATTTATATATTTTTGGTACCGGGGATTGAACTCGGGTCCTTGCACTTGCAAGGCAGGCCACCGAACCGCTGAGCTAAATCCCCAGCACTCTTGTCTAAATTCTTTAGCAACCTCAAATCTAAATGAACCTCTGTTGTTAGAATACTATGCCTCTCAGTATCTAATTCATTTTTTTCTATCTTCTTTCAAAACACTTGCTAGAACTGTTTTCTGATGTGGACAAAACAATACTTAAATGTCATAGGTCTGTTTTAAAAATGGAGTAAGGCCAGAGGTTTAGCTCAGGGGTTCCACTGCCTGCCTCACAAGCAAAAGGTCCCAACTTTGATCCCTGATTAAAAAAAAAAAAAAAAATGTAGTAGGTAGGCTGGGGATTTAGCTCAGTGGCACTGCCGCCTAGCTCACAAGTATAAGGTCCTGAGTTCAATCCTGAGTCGTGTCCCCCGTCCCCCCACAAAATTGTAATAAGTAATGTAACACTTTGATTTTACTTAGTTAAGTTTAGTAACATAGTTACAGTTTAAATGCTTCTTTTTGCTGTTACTTTTCTCCTAAGTGGTAATACTTTGTAAGGTGTAAAGCCTAAATTTTGAGTATCCAGTACAAAAAATGTAGCTTCTTTTAAGTAAACTGTGATGAAAAAAGGAACAATAATGTTTGGTGTCATTTTTCCCCCTCTAGGAACATTTCATGGAAGTAATCAGAAACCAGGAATTTGTATTACTACCAGCCAGTGAAATTGCAAAGCTCCTGGCCAGTGATGACATGAACATTCCTAATGAGGAGACAATATTGAATGCGCTTCTCACTTGGGTCCGTCACGATTTAGAGCAGAGACGGAAAGATCTCAGTAAACTTTTAGCTTATATTAGGCTACCTCTTCTTGCACCACAGGTAAGTAACAGGTACTTATTTGTAGGGTATTTTTTCCTTTGCTTCTTATGTCAAAGTATTTTTTACACATTCAGATAAAATATATATGTGAAAAGATGTATGCTAACTAAATTATGCCTGTATTTTCATTTCAGAGTGTCTGCCTACCTAAACTGCATTGGTTAAGTTACATTTTTAACTTTGAGTTAGTAATTTTATTTGACTCAACTACAGACAATTGGAAGAAATTAGTAATAAAAGGAACACTGATTTCTGAGAACAAGTAAATGTAGAAAAATTCATTTGCCACACATTTATTAAATACAACTGGATTTTTTTACTTGGGGGGGTACCAGGGATCAAACTCAGGCCTTTGTGCTTGCGAGGCAGGTGGCAGAACCACTGAGCCAAATCTCCAGCCCAAATACTACTGGATTTTGGTGACATATAAATAATAAGATACTATAATAATTCCAGTTCTGACATATTAAAACTGTGACTTAGCATGTTCACATGCTTCAATTTCTTCATCTGTCAAGTAGATTATTTCTATCTCACAGGGACATTGTAAGTATTACTTTGTCTATTGTCTTTACAAAAGGCTCTGTGAAGTGAAATGTGCTGTAGATGATAATATTTAAGGACTGGGCCAAGTCTTTAGCTCAGTGGTATCGCCACCTGTCTTGCAAATGCAAGGTCCTGAGTTCAATCCCTGGTACCAAAAAAAAAAGAAGAACCAAGAGATATCTAGTTGATATATTTAAGGCAGTCAGTAATAACATTTATATGCATAACTTCCCTTTTTACAGTGTTCATTAGAATATACAAAAATTTACCCTGTATTCTTTGCTATCTATTGGAAGACCTCGAATAAAAAGACCTCGAAAGCACAGAATCATTTGTCACTGTTGAAGGATAGACTTCCTTTTTTTAAAGTACCATAAATATTACTTTATGTATATTGATCTTGAAGACAATGTATTATTTCTTGGTATTGTGAACAAAAGTTACAGTTTGCAGTCTCTCTTATAGAAACAATTCAATACTGATGGATTAGAAGAAAAAACTCCATTTTTAGAGGTAGAATATTGTATAAATACACAAGATTGAAACTGTCTAAACTGATGGCAATTCAGGGGGAAAAGCTAATGAAATATTTTTTTTCTAAATCAGATTTAAGGAAAAGGGTTATGGTTTCACTGTTACATAGCAGAATTTTTTTTCTCACTCTTTTCTAGATGAAAGGAAAATAAAATGTGAAAAATCCTGTTAAATGTTCAGAAGAATCTGTGCAATTAAATAACCTGATAATTTAGTTCAGTTCTGCGTTTGCTTCCCAGAGACCTCTAAAATTCTTGTTATCCAGGATACTGCTGATAATAATATCTTTTCATTCTTGGAGTTGCAAGGCACTTTGAAGATTTAGTCCAGCACCTTTGGTACAAATGAAGTAATAGATCAAAAAAGTAAAACTGTATATTCAAAGTCACAATGTGAATACATAAATTCCTGTCCTTCTGCACTGTTTTTCTTTGCTGCTTGAAAAGTCATAGAAGCAAAGTAAAAACAGAACTTGAACACAAGTACAGTTCTGTGTCTTTTCCTCTAAACCATTCTGCCTCTTGTAAAATACTTATAAATTGCTGGATATGGGGCAGGACCTCAGGTGAAGAAGAAAGTAGATTAAAAACCAAATTATAATATGAAGGCCATGATAAATAGATGAATATGACATGAAAATAATAGGAGCACTCCCCACCAAAAAAAAAAAAACAGCAACAACTGATGACCAAAAAGGAGGGAGAACTTTCAAAATTGCCAACTAAGCTGCCATGATTTAATCACCCAAAAGAAGGGACAGATACTCAGGAGAAACTGGAAATTGTACCTTCTTATGGAGTGATGAGCCATGAATAAAAATATCATGTTCTGGAATTTAAAGATAATTTGCTTGGCTAGAGTGTAGAAATAAAAGGGAGTGATGTCCAGAGATGAACTTGAAGAACGAAATGAACCAAATCATGAAGAAATTCTAGTCATACCAGGGAGTTTAGATTTCTTCTACTAAAAGCAATAAGGAATCACTGAAGGATTTTTATAACAGCAGAATGATGTAATCATAACTTTATTTTGGAAAAATGACTGCATTGCAGAGAACAGATCAAAAGGATCAAAACTAGACCCATGAGGAAGTCAGTCTGTTGGAGTTCAGCAAAGTGAAGTGGGCCCTCTTGGGTGGAGCCAGAGAGAAATTACCAAATTTAGGAGCTGTCTAGGTCAAGTGGGTACAACTTCATGACTGGCTGAATGGTAGGGGATACAGATTCTAAGAGGGACCCAGAATGATTCTCATTTGTGCAGCTAGATTAGTGAGGGTGTTGTCATCTGAGGCAAAGGAACATGTGATAAACAGCTGATTTGGGGAATGGAAAATAAATGGGGAATTTGTGTTCCCCAGAATTCTTGCCACCTTTAATCTTCTTAAAGTCTTAAGAGATTATTGAAACCAAAAGCAAGAGAATGACACTGAACAATGAGAATCCAAGAATGCTAAGGGTGGATTTGTATGGTACATTAATATTTAGTGACTGTTCCCACACATAGCAAGTTCGACGGTTCCAAGAAGATTACAAGTTCAAGAAAGAATAAATGTTAACATCATCAGATGGTATAGAAAGAACAAGTAGGATAAGGAGGGAAAATTCCCTCCATCAGCGCAGTAGTTCTCAAAGTGTAGAATCAGCAGCACTTGGGAACTTCTTGAAATGCACATTTGTAGGCCTCCCCCAAAACTACTGAATCTGAAACTGTGATTTATGATAGATTAATCCATATGAGTCAATTCAATGAATATTCACTAATGGTTTATGTGGTAAGTAGGACTATGCTTTGTGTGCCGGGAGAAAAATACAGGATAATTAAGACTAGAATTTACACTCAGTATATGTAATGAGACTTGTGTCTTAATTAAATTTTGAGGTTTTATTTTTATTTTTGTTTTTTGTTCATTAGAGAAGAGATAGAGGAAAGGTAAGAAAGGTAACAGGTGCTGAAAATGATCTAAGTATGTTAAATGTGTGTGTGAATCTGCCACAATGAAACCTTTTAATCTGTATAATTAATATGCACTAATAAAAATATGATTTACACCAGTTGAAATCATTCCCATAATCCCAGCTACTTAGGCTGAGTCAAAAGGATCAAAAGTTCAAGCCCCACCTGGGCAACTTAGTAAAACGCTGTTTCAAGAGAAATTAAAAAAGCCTCAGGTGGTAGCTTAGTGGTAGAGAGATTGCCTAGCATGTTTGAGGCCCCAGGTTCACTCCTCAGTACTCAAAAAAAAAACAAACACAAACGATTTACAATGTTTTAAAAAAATGTTAAGTGAAAGAAGCAAGGTACAAAAGACCATATATTATTTTGTTTATATAAAATGTTCAGAAAAGGCAAATCTATGGAGAAAGATTAATGAAGATTAATAGTAAATGACTATATGAGAGCTAATTGAGGTGATGAGAATGTTCCAAACTGTTTTGTGAATAATGGGCTTACAACTTGACAAATTTGCTAAAAAGCATTGAAATGGTTATTACTTGAAATGGATATGCCCAATAAAATTATAAAGAAATGCATTGTCAAATACAACTCAGCAGTGTATCAAAAAGATAATACACAATGACCAGGAAAGTTTTTCTAGAAAAAGAAGAATGATTATCAGGGAATCTTTCAAGGTAATCATTGCATCAGTAAGTTAAGAGGGAAAAAGCTGTGTGGCCATGTCAGTAGACCTATAAAAGATACATCTTTTGGAAAAAATTCAACAACTATTCTTAATTTAAAATTCTAAAGTAAGGGACACAGACTTCAGACACCACAATTTCCACCTCCATAAGAATTATTTTAGACTTCTGATCTTCAGAATTTCAAGATAATATATGTGTGCTTTGAGCCACTAAAAAAAGAAAAAATAATAAAATTCTAAAGTAGAGAAAGGGAGACAGCCAAAATATATGAGTTACCCAATACTACCACAACTATTAAACTATTATCCTAAATAGTGAAAAAATAATACCATATATCAACTCAAACCAGAAGCAGGGAACTCCTTGTATCTTATTTAACATTGAAAACAGTGTTTTGGTAATGTAATAAAAATGAAATAATTGTTGTAGACAAACTGTCCCCATTTACTGAAAGTTACTACTGTATTCTAACTACTAATGCTCAATCAGTCATGGTAATACAATAGGCTAAAATAAAAGTATAAGATAATCAAGATTTTCTCTCTTACAGCAAGAAATGTACAAAATGAGAATTTAAAAGTCTATTCTCGGTAACAATAAGAATAGTAAAATATGTAGGAATATATTTAATAAAGCCATCCAAATAAGCCTCTTTCTTTCTTTCTTTCTTTCTTTCTTTCTTCCTTTCTTTCTTTCTTTCCTTCCTTCCTTCTTTCTTTTTTGAGACAAGGTCTTTCTGTGTAGTTCAGGCTGGCCTTGAACTCACAGTCTTCCTCCTGCTTCAGCCTCATAAGTGCTGGGATTACAAGTGTTTGCTACTCACGGCTTGGAAAACCTTGACAGAAGGACTCTCATAAAATGTAAAATCTCTCAAAAGTAGTGAAGAAATTTAGGTGGTTTATATTATATAATAACAAGAGAATCAGAATAATGAAAGGGAAATGGATAAATACGTCTTAAATTTATATGGAAGATAAAGACTCAAAAATAGCCAAGAAGACAATGAAAATTAACAGTGACAGGAGACTTATTATATACCGGAACATGCTATAAAGACAGATATAAAATGTAGTGTTAGTATAGAATTAGATAAATAGAAGAATCAAAAATAGACCTTATATATTTTTGAATGTATTAATGAGAATGTAATATGTGGCCAAGGTTCAGTTTATTGGGAAATGGGAAAGATTGTTCAATAAATAGTGTTGCTACAGAACTGACTGTTTATCTGGAGGAAAATAAAAATGCTTCTGACATACTCTGTTTAAAAATTAATTTCAAAAAATCTCCAATTTCATGGATCAATGGCCTGAATGAAAGAAATAAAGCAATAAAATAATGCCAGATAATCCAGGAAACTACACCCAAACACAGGAGCAAAAATGCTAACCAGAACTGGAAATTCAAAAACCACAGAAAAACAGACACATACTTAATGACCTAAGAATGTAAATGATTTGCATAGGAAAGTATTTTGAAGCAACTTCAATAGTCAAATAAAAAACCTAGGAAAATTACAGTTGAAAATTAAAAAATTAGAATACATGTGTTATAAAGAACTCTTAAAATTTTTCAAAGATAAGCAGCTTAACAAAAGAGGGAGAGAGCCGGGGATTTAGCTCAGCAGTTTGGTGGCCTACCTCGCAAGTGCAAGGACCCGAGTTTGATCCCCAGTACCAAAAAAACAAAAAAACCAAAACAAAAGAGGGTGACAAAGGGGGCAAAAAAATTATGAATGGCAAAAATATAAGAAAAATTCATTTGCCCACACATTAGAAAAATTCAGACTAAAGGGAAATGTGGTATAATTAACAAAAATAAAAAGAATTTATATACTTATTCTTATAGCAGTATTGTATTCTTAGCATAACCAATGAAAAGGTGAATTATCATACAGCCTTCTACAAAGCAATCTGAAGTTTTTATATCTTTTTTATTTGCATACACTATTTGATCTACCTGGGGACAGATCAGTTCCAAGAAATCTGTCCCTTAAAAGTAAAAATGTCACATAAAGGGCTAGGGATTTAGCTCAGGGTTCCACCACCTGCCTCGCAAATACAAGGTCCTAAATTCAATCTCCGGTACCAAAAAGAAAAGTTACATAAAACCTTCTTTAGAAGACTTGGCTTTATTAGCAAAAAAAAAAAAAAAAGAGTGTATACATATATGTAACTGTATGTACATACAGACTGGAAAAGATCTAATGTACATAATAAGGAAATGGAAAAAAATACTAGTGTATATCTATATATTATGAAATAATTATTCAGTTATAAAAAAAATCAAAACTATACCTTTTCAGGAAGACTTGAAGAGATTTTCATGAGGTTTTTGTTCAATAAAAATGGTAAGATGGAGCAAAACATACAATAAAGCAAATACGTAGTAAAAGATAAAACTAATTATATCATGCATTTATATAAAGTAGTATTTGGTGAAACAGGGATTTTAATATTAATAACCACCATATAAAATTCTTTGTCCCTTGAGAAATTGATGTTTTGTTTTTGATGGTACTGTTTGAGAGAAGTCAGGTAAGTGCAATCTGGTTAGTCAACTCCCACTTAATAATTAATTAAAACTGTGTGTAATTATAAAAATAAAATGATTTAGGAAATCTGTGAACTAGAGAAAAGTAATAATATTTTGAAAGTACCATTATTCCTACTACTCAGAGTATAAACATATTAAGATCTTATACCACGAATATTCTTCAGTTTTCATTTTTCATTGACACTTAAAAATCTTGTAAGTTGTATATTTTAAAATATGTTCAGACTTGAATTTTTTTTAAAAAATGTGAGGAATTTTCATTTGAAAAACTACCTCACTTATTCTATTTTCTTGGCTACTCAGTATACATATTCTTTTCTAGTTCCTGGCAGATATGGAAAATAATGCACTTTTTCGGGATGACATAGAATGTCAAAAACTCATTATGGAAGCAATGAAGTATCATTTATTACCAGAGAGACGACCCATGTTACAAAGTCCTCGGACAAAACCTAGAAAGTCAACTGTTGGTACATTATTTGCAGTTGGAGGAATGGATTCAACAAAAGGTACTGAATAATCTTTTATTTGGAAGAATGAGAGAAAAAGGAATTTTAATAAGTATTATGTACTTCCAAAAAACTCTTAAGAGAATTGGCTTGTTGTAATACAAGAAAAGTACAAGAGGACCTCAGAATAGGAGGTGCTCAAAGAATCCTGAAAATAGGTCCAAGACACAAGAGACCTTGTAGTGACCACTGTTAACCTCACAGCTGATTTGGGCATTAAGATAAATAATGATGGAAAAGATTATAATTTATTTTATCAGTAAATTTCTATGAATTCACTAATACAAATAAGAAAAGGAGAAGGGAAACCTCTTCCATACAGTAGAGTGCCATTAATAAATGTAGAAAGATGCAAATAGAAAAATTTAACATTTGGCAACCTTTACAATGCAGATTGAATATCCCTAACCTGAAAATGTGAAATCCAGAATGCTCCCAAATTAGAAACGTTTGGAGCAGACACAAAGCTTAAAATGTTTCAGATGTTGGAACATTTCAGAAATTCAGTTTTTGCGTTAAAGATCCTTAACCAGTGAAGTCTCTGCAAATATTCCAACATCTGAAAAACTTCAAATTCTGAAACACTTCTGATCCCAAGCATTTCAGATTGCTTGGTCTGTAATGCTTAATTCGCTGATCCAGGCTGAGACTAGTAAGTGAAAGTTTGTGAACAGGATATTTACTCTCAAAGTGTCTCCCAGCCACATGCTTATTAGTTACAAAGAGTAAAATAGTATCTTTACAGTGGAGAGCAGTGGCATGCATCTGTTTAACCTAATGATCAGAGGTAATGTTGCCAGTAATAAAACTTAGCAGCAGCATGTTCCTCTGATAAAATGCAGTGTGAAGAACTCAGCAGCACTTCTGTGGTATTCGTGCCAAAAGTGTATAACTTGAACTTAATCATAAGGGAAAAAAGAAATAAATCTAAGTTGAAAAACATTCTGCAAAATAACTTGTCTGTAGCACTAAAGGATGTCAGCATCATAAAATACAAAACTAAAGGAAAAAATTCAGACACCTTTCTAGGTCACAGGAGAATTTTAAAATGCATCATCTTGGATTTTTCTTTTGCTATAAAGATCATAATTGAAACAAATGACAATCCAAATAAGGGCTGTAGATTATATAATAGCATTATAAGATGTTAATTTCTATATCTGATGATTATAGGGTGGTTTTACTAGAGCATTTCTCCTTTTGAGGAAGACAAACTGAAATCTGTATTTAGGGGCATAGGGCCCGTGTTGTGTCTGCAACTTGCTCTTAAACAGTTCAGGAAAAAGTACATAAATATGTAGCATCTGGGAGTATGTTTTTACCATTCTTGGCAACAGTTTATTACTAATAATAAAAAACAAGAGCAATAAAGACCACATATAATTATCTGACTGCCATGTATTACCCTAAGCAGTTGCTATAAATTACTTCTCATTATACACTGATTCCCCCTTTGTATTCCTAGTACTAACCATCTACCATCCACTGACAGTGCCTTTCTGACTTCTGCTCATTTTGCTTCTTACTTTGCTCCTTCTCTTCTAGCCCCATTGCTCCTCTTATTCATCTCATAGGGCAAACATAACCTGATGTCTGGGATACTGATAGATATTTTCTGTTTCTGTCATCCTCTACTTCAATAACAAAAATGTTCACTGAGATCTCCTTTCACATGTCAGCTTACTAACATGACCACTCTGTAGTCATCTTCTTTTTTTCTTTTTTCCAGTACCAGGGATCAAACTCAGGACCTTGCGCATGTGAGGCAGGCACAGCATCACTGAGCTAAATCCCCAGCCCTATAGCCACCTCTTGCCTATTACTCTCTGAATTTTTCCTATGATTTTCTCCCTCTGAATTATGTTTCTTCGCAGCTCCTGATACATTTGTTTGTGACATCTTTTTCTTTTTTGGTACGGGGGATGGAACTCAGGTCCTTATGCTTGCAAAGCAGGTGGCAGCACACTGAGCTAAATCCCTGGCCCCTGATACATTTGTTTGTAATGTGTCTTCCTCTTCCAAGATTCAGAAAAGCAAGGTGTTTGCTTTGCACTCTTAACAGACCTGAAAATCCTGAAACAATGCTTTACACTTAAGACAGTGTCAATAAGTATTTGTCAAATAAGTGAAGGTTTTCCTTTGCCATTTCTTGTGTGAATAAAGCCCTCGATGCATCATTAATCACCTTAAAAGGTTGATTTCTTGGGGAGGGTACTGGGGGTTGAACTTGTGACCTTGTGCTTGTGAGGCAGGCAGTAACACCACAGCCCTCCTGTAGTATCTTTAAAGAATATGAAACTATGAGCTCTAGGGCAGGGATTTAGCTCAGTCTTTGTGCCTGTCTCTGCAAGTGCAAGGTCCTAAGTTTGATTCCCAGTACTGCCCCCCCAAAAAATCTATCTATCTATCTATCCCTCTATCTATGCTGTGTTGTAGTCCAGTAGGATTGGGCAAGGGAATACATTAAATACAGCACACATAACTTATAAGGCTATTTTATAATAATTACCCAAAGAGTCAAATGCCAGGAGTGCAACAGATTAACCACACAATAGAAGTCCAAAACATTCAACTGAGGGCCTAGATCCCAGCAATTTCCCACAAAAGTCCAACTAAAGGCTTATAGTACAAGGCAATGACCTCCTCTAGTCCAGCCAGTGGCCTAAAACCCAGGGCAATGTCTCATGCTTGTCATATTGAGGATCTGCACCTGAAAAGTCTGAAGGCCAGTGGTGGAAGCCAGAAAATCTATGCTCATGAGATGAAGGATCTGTGCCACCAAGCTGAGGGATCCACAATGGAGCCAGGAAGTAGTGCTCACGGTAAAGGTCAGAGCTCCCCTGATGAAAGCAGCAGCCATTCCCAGTGACAGCAAGGTCCCAAGTTCCTCCTCCAACGAGAACAGCCTAGTTTGAATCAGGAAACCCACCCGCAGCAAGCGTCTAGAAAATCAACGGATCAAGATCTTCCTCCCCAGTTCTCTTTTTATGGCTGTTGGGAACAATCCTCAGGTGGGTCCTCCACGCCCAGACCATGCTGATTCAGTTCACCTGGGCATTACAAGTTGACTATTAGTCAATCCACTACAACCTCTAGTTGAAAGTATTATATTATTGCTTCACTTTTATGTTCATGGAAGCAAAGCTATAACATCTGTTATAACATTTGATTTTATTCTCATATTTCCAAATTATATAAGATGTTCATTCTACATTCAGCTTTCACCACAAGTTTGGGGGATCCAGGGCTGGGATTTAGCACAGTGGTTCTGCTGCCTACCTTGCAAGCACAAGGACCTGAGTTCAGTCCTGCGTACCAAAAAAAAAAAAAAAAAAAAGTATTGACCTGTTTGTCTCCACCTCACCTCAGAGTTGGTGTATCCAAATCTTCTCTGACCCAAATTTGAGAACTTGGCCACATAATTTATTTTTCCTTAATTCTGGCTCAGATAAGAATTTAAAAAGCCAGGCATGATGGCACGTACCTGAAATCCCAGAACTCAGGAGGTTTCAGGTGGATCCCCATGAGTTTGAGGCCAGTCTAAATTACATAACAAGACCCTGTCTCAAAAAAAAAAAAATGGCTATTGAGAAAAAGGCAGTGACTGTATCCACTGCCCTTCTTCATAACACCTACTTTAGCTTTTGAATCATAGGTGCAAGTATTAGGTCAATTCCAGGTTTAAGGAGAACAAATAACCTATCCTTTCAGCCTTCTAGGAGATAGTTTCTTGCCTACTGTCAAGATTCCTACATACAGTGGCAAATTCCCCAAGCACAAGAAGGAACTCACATACCAAGTACCCAAAGGAAAGTTTTCATTCTCTCCTTTCAAATCTCAAATTAGGACAGTTAACACATCATCCTTTAAATGGATCTTATACCTGATTCTTTAAATTTTCACTGCCAGTCTTCTAATTCCAGTTAGCATTCTATCACCATACCTATCTTGATCATGTTAACTTAGGGTAAGTAGCAGCCATTGTGTTATTAATATGTGCCAAGCATAATGAAATATCCAAGAGCTGAATGTTATTCTTGCCCTCTTCGATAATTGAGGTCTACCAAAACTTAAGAAGTTAAGTAACTTTCCAGGAGCACACAACTGATTAGTGATGGGATCAAGGTTCAAACAGGCATTTTACTGCTGGATACCATACTCTCTGCTCCATCAACTCTTGAGTTACCATGCCACTACTCCTCAAAAAACCCAACAACCTTTATTTCTTAAAATGTAAGGTATAAATTCTTTATACTGGCTTTCAAGACATTCTGTAATCTGGCCCTTGCTGCTTGACCAACGTTATGCCTGTGTCTTTCTTAATGTTCAAATACTCTGACCTTCTAGCCTATTCAGGCTATCTTCCCTTGGTTTTACTTGATCTTTCTTACTTGATCTTATTTATTTTACTCCTCCCAGTATCTTTATAATGAACAGTTTGCATTAGTTGGATGGTAGTCAACCTATTCACTCTTAGTCTCCCAGTGTGGGGTCCAGCAAATAAGATAATAATGGTTTTAAATAGCTACTAAGAAAATATATTTAAAACATTTGTGCTTGCTTTTTTTTCTTTTTATTGAGTTTATTGGACATTTAAGGTATACAGTACAATTACATTCATTGTCGGAATCATGTACCTTTACATGACAGGTCTTTGTTCTCATTTTTTTCCTCTTATCCATGCCCTCCCTTCACCCTTCTCCCCTCCCCATTTACAAACAATTTATTTCCATTTTCTCATATTTTTTTCTTTTCCCTTATTACCTTTCCCCTACCCTTCCCACTTTCCCAATGCATTTAGCCCCTTTGTTCCTATTTCACATGGTCAATTATATCATTAGGATCTTATGTACTATTATAGTTTATTCACACCAGAGAAACTATTCGGTATTTACACATGTGTGACTTATTTATTTCACTTAGGAGTATATCCTCCATATATATCCATTTTCCTATGAATGAATCTAATTTCTCATTCTTTATGGCTGAGTAGTATTCCA